GCCCTCTGCACCCTCGGTACCTTCATCGCCCGCGCGCTTTATCTCTCCGCGGCGACCGTCAACGGCTGTTCGCCCCGGCCCGGGCCGTAGGCAGTCATTACTGTTATCAGCGCTAGCCAGGCGGCATGGCCAGTGAACGCTCGCGTCACTGGCGCTCGGGAGCGGGCTCACGCGCCGCCCAGCCCCCTACCCGCTCCCGCCTCCGCACCCCACCCACGCGCGCTAATCCGCCCTTTGAATGTGGCGCTGATCCGGAAACGCGCGTCGAGCCGAGAACCGGGACACTCGGAAAGGCGGGAGTGGAATGAGATGTGACGAGACGCTACCGGCGTGAGGGGGAGGGGCTTTGGAAGGCGAGAGCGGGGCGAAAAGGCCAGCGGGAAGTTGGCCACTGGGTGTGGGAAAGCGTACGGGCAGGAGGTGGAGAGATTCCTGCAAGCGCTGGCGGCTAGAGGAACTGAACAATTGACCACGCGATTTCAGAACTGAAATGTCGACAATTTTGGAATTCAGATAGCCAGGAGAGAATGTTGGAGGCAGAAGAGTAATAGGCCAGTCCAAGAACTATAATCGTTGATGTTTTGAACTGCAGTAATTGAAGCGGGCTAACTGCGTGGACAATTGACAGTGCAGTGAGAAAGAGCGAACTTACATGTTTTGAACCTGAATGACAGGTAGAATGAACGTTCAAGTTTAAATGTGATCGGTCGATGAGAAAACGAGGGCCACGTGAGAACCGACAAGTTACGCCGAGAAGGAAGCTGCAGCAGCGGGTGGGGTCGGTTCTCCGCCAGAAGCCCATATGCAAAGTACTCCCAACAGGCGGTCCGCGCCGGGCATTGCTGCGCAGCCGATGCACCCGCGCGAGCGGACGAGAGGCGTGGGAGTAGGGGCGGGGTTGAGCGAGAGGTGGGGTGGAGAAGTCCGAAAGTCCGCCGGGCGGGCAGTGGGAGGGTCTCGAGGGAGGAATCCGCTTGTTCCTGTGGTAAGGAGCTTTGCCAGGAGGAAACGGATCGTCGCCGACAGCGCGCCCCCTTCGCTCCTCGCACCCGAGCTTTGAGGAGTAAGCCGATGATAACAACGGCTCGCCCGCCCGAATCGGATTGTGCTTCGCTCGCTCCGCTCCGGGCTGGCGACAGCCGCTCTGTCGGACGTAGGAGAATGCGTGCTCGGGACGTTTTTCGCCCCGGACTGGTGGAATGGGGGAGACATTAAAGAGAATTTTCTGTTCAGATCGGATATGCACCTTGGGACCATTATGGTAATGTGCGTTGAGATGGAAGAAGTCGGGAATTGATCTAGCACCGTAACCAATTTTAATAGAGATCAGTCACTGAGTGACTTATCTCAATTTGTTCTGAAGAAGGGACCGTGGGCTAAGTTGTTATCTAATGAGGTTGTCACCCAAGAGCTTGTCCGGAAGTTTCTTCTGAAAAGTCTGTAAACTAACACTCCTCGACAAATTGTAATATTCAAGATATACATTTAAAAATCACATGTATCCAACGTATCTTCGTCTACTCCAGACTAAGTTTGGAAGCAGAAAATCTAGTATTAATACCAAATAAAAAAAGTTGTTTAGCATTTGTCGTTGATAAAAATTCGATTGATTAACATTTCAAGTAATATTTTGAAAATCGTTTTGCCAAGGAGTACCAGTTTTCTAAAGTTTGTCCGACTTGTTTCAATAACTTGTATTTCCTATCTTGAAATCGTGAAAGAACAATACCTCAATAAATTCTGAATGAAATGCGCTTGAATTTCTAGAAATATCTCCTTTTTTAGTTGTTGAATGAGGAAGTTTTTTCCCGAAAAAATATTCAAACATTAAAAATTTAAGCACATCCTTTAATGTATTCTCATAAATAATGGATTTATGTTTTTATGCTAATTTGGAATTGACAGCCTGACACCATGGGTGAAGGAATAGTATTTACGACGTGCATTTGACTTTATAAATCTGCAGAATGGTCGGGGATCAGTCGCACGGGAGAAATATCGAAGTGACTGCGGAAATATTGACTTTCATCTCATGCATTTTGTCTGATCTGCCCATCAGACTATGACACTGACTCTTCTCCAAACGCCAAGTTACCTGGCGATTGTCAACGCCAGGTTACAACCCACTACTGGCTCAGATACATACAGCAGTAGACCAGAAGCGTGGAAACACACCTTGAGCAATGTGGCGGAAGAAGAGGGCAGTATTGTGGCAAGGTGCCACAGTCTGCGCGCCCCGACCCGACCCGACCCGACCCGACCCGACCCG